GTCAATCAAAATTCGCTTGACGTCGTAATCCTTGATGCGGAGAGTGACTACCAGTGCATCATTGTGAGGGCAATATATCCTTGCCAAGTCTCTGTCTGAAAAAAACATGACGTTTATGGCCTCTGTTTGCCCCTCTTTAATGGTGGGCTGCGCACTTAATACCTCCCTTAAGTGCTCAGCCTTCTTGATTATTCCCCTGAGCTCACATACTCGCTCAGGTTCGAATACCCCATGTATTACGTTTGTCACGCCTTGAGGTGGGGCGTCAATCGGTGTTCCATCTGGATGATCGTGGTTTTGGGGGGCTGGCTGTGTCCCTTTTTCTATGTACTAGTCCAAGTGCCCAGCTGCCACTAACTCCTCCAGGTGCTGTCTCAACGGTGTGCAATTTTCAGTGCGGTGCCCTTTTTCCTTATGGAAGGTGCACCGGGATCTTTCGTCATAGTCTTTTTGTGCCTCTCTCAGTTTAGCTGGCTATCGGATGAAAGGTTCGTCACGTATCTCGTTGAGAATTTGATAAATCAGTTTTTTGAACACCGTGGTAATGGCAGTGCAGACTCTCAACCACCTTTTATCGTGGTCCTCTCCGTTGTCCCGCCTACCTCGCCCGTTTTTGTTTAGACGTTCTACCGCATTGAGTTTTGTTGAAGTCTTTTTATCTGGAATTGCGGTTGTACCAGACTTTATTTTAGCACGGGCGCCATCCTCCTCCACCCGAATGTGCTGGTGTACCCTCTCCATTAAGGCTTTCATTGTGAGGGGTGGCGTCATAGTGATTGAGTCCCTCAGCCTGTTTCCGACTGGAAGACTTCTTTTGTACTGCGCGATGGCGAGATTTGTGAGGCAATCTCCTATCTGGTTGAAGGTCTCCCAATAACGATTGTTGTAGGATCTCAATGTCTCCTTGTCGCCCATGTCAATGGAGAGTAGCTGATCGATCTCTACTGGCGTCTTGGTGTTCGTTCTAAACCTTGTCACAAACGCCTCCGCTAATTACGCCCAGGAGGCTATGCTGCCTTCTGGTAGCCTTTCGAACCAAGTTAAACCTAGGTCGCCAAGGCTGGATGGGAATAAGATGCACATCAAAGCCTCGTTCTGCCGGTATACTGCCATGACCTGGCAAAAGTGGCTTAGGTGCATGTAAGGGTCTGTCTTCCCCTCGTACGTCGTAAATTTAGGTTGGATGAAGACTGAATGTAATGGTGCATTTTCAATCGCTGGAATGAACGGCGAGCTATGTAACCTTGCCAATGCTTTATCTGTTGGTTCGTAGGCAAGGTGCGGTATTGGCATTCCTACCTCGACGCTTCCATGCGTCCGAGGAGCCAACCTCTGAAGGGCTGAAACTCTGCGAGGGTTGCGTGCCCTGGCATCCTCCTTCTGTCGTGCCCTTTCTTCAAGCACAGTCTGTAAGTCGGACGATCTAGGCAACTCCATTTGCCTGGATGATGTCTGGTGCGTATGTGAGGGCCAATAGGTGCTTCCCTCAGTGTAAGACCTCAATGTTCTTGTTCTCTCAGACCTGGAGGAACGAGTCCTGGAAGTCCTTGATTGAGTGTCGCCTGTTCTGAGGCTCCTACTCTCTGCTTGCGATGACGTGGTATGCCTACCACGATCTTCTGAGTGGCGAGGAGGCGTATTTCTTTTACGCCCCTCTCCTGTCGCCACCCCCTTCCCTTTTATCTGGCGCTTCATCAATTCCATGTCCGTCGCCATCTTCCTGATTAACTCGTCCTGCTCCTTTACCCGATCCTCCAAAACTTGAGGGTCGATCCTCCGCCTCTGCCTATCAAGACTTGATGAGCGACGGGGGCTATTACCCCACCTCCCCCTTGCATCCCTCCGGGGGTTCTGTCGCTGGGGCTCTAAATCTGTCATGGGAAGGATGAAAGGCAAACCTTCGCGCCTCCCACCTCCCTCTGGGGTTTGTCCGTCAATGGCGGACTGCAGCAAATCTTCATTGTGCGCCATTGCGTCTAATCTAGCGAGGAAAAACTTTGATCAAGAGGTTTTGTTCATTCTGTGATTCCCACAGACGACGCCAATTGTACGAGTAAGAAATAATCTTCTCGTATAATCCTGTTGATCAAGCTTGTGTTCCTTCAAACGTCGTCGCTTTACTCCCTGAAAACACAAATGTGAGCTAGCCGGCGGGTTTGTGCCGGATAACTCTCCGATGCCTAAGTCAGCAAAATAGACAAATAGACAAAAGCTCTATGTATTCAAGAATCAAAGTTGTGTTACCTCTCTATAGGTGATGTTATGAGCTTTTATAGGTTTCGCGTGGCACAATCCTAGTAAGACTCTTATTCTTCCATGCAGAGTCCTCCTAGGAATCACACTCCTGAAAGATAATGCTTATCCTTCAACACCCCCCTCACTGCTTAAACCAAGTGAGATGGTTCTAGCTCGGTGATATGTCCAAATGACCGAGCTAGCATTGCCATGACACAATGACAATGTAACCGAACTAACAATATTCATGTTACATTTATCCCGGCGCTTTATGTGTAACATGTACCTCGGCTTCGCCTGTAGACCGTGCTAACCATAGCGTTCTTGGACTGAGCTACTCAACAGCAAGGTCCTGAGTTCAAACCAAAAATACCTCGGCTCAAGATGGTTTGACCGAGCTAACTGTCACCGCGCCGATCGTGGTGACCGAGCTAACTGTCACCGCGCCGACCGTAGTGACCGAGCTAACCACCAAGCTCTTTCGAACCGGGCTATCTACAAGGCTCCTCTAGACCGGACTAATTACAAGGCCCTTTTACTCAGCCCTTCTTACTGTGGCCCACAGAATGGCCCATTACCTAGCTCGGCCCAATTTACATATAAATTACCCTCTCAGTATACATTGCTAAAGTAAACAAACGAATAAAAAAGCAAATAATAGTATAGATAGACCAATTGAGAATGCCGATGAATCATACAAACCTCCAAATAGAATTAAACTCAAATAAGTGGAGCAAATAACTTTCTTTATTAAGACTAAGAGAGTCTTGATATAAGGAAGAAGAATTTTTGAAGGTTGTAAAACCAACAAAATTAAATTTTAAAACAATTAAAGCTTGCCTTGCGTGAAGTATCCATTTTTGGATGACATGCTCCTTTGAGTTTCCATCCTGTGATAATGCATACCTCATTTTCTACTTGAAGCATTATGTATAACAATTAGTAGGCAACAAAAAAGAATCAAACTTGAAATCAATGTTAATGGGCAAATCTAACTAAAATTAAACCCAAGGTTCATTAAATAAAATTAACTGGACTATTTTTTAAAACAAAAAAAAATATAGTAAGTTTATTGAATTAATTAACTGGACTATGCATAATCATCCAATTAAAAGTATGAAGCAGGTTAAACTGCTTCAAGCATAAAGTAAGTTTATTGAATTAATGTAGTTCCAAAACCAAATATTTGAAGAAAAATCAAAACAGCCAATTGGCTTAAAACTGGCTTTTGTTACTTTAGACCTGTTTACTATTTTTTTTTACAAATTATTTGACCTCATTGAGGCAATCTCAGCATTGTTTATAGAGTCTTATAAAATAACTGGAGAAGCTAAAAGCATAATTTGTTTTTTTTTTTTTTATCAGAACTTACAATCCTCACTCTAAAAGTAAAATAAAAAATGAGAGGAGAAGAAGAATGAATGAAAGAAAGAAAAAGAAGAAGAAAAAAAAAAAGGAAAGAACCTCAGCTCCTATAAAAAATAACAGACAGTTTTCACCCAATGAAACTAAAATATGTTGAGTTAAGAGTCACATGGGTAAAGGGAAAAGGAAAAAAAAAATGACTCTAACCCATCCAATCAAAATTTTAACATTATAACCACATTTTTTTGTCACATTTTTTTGTCACATCTATTTTTAAATGAATATACATTTGTGCCTACAGTGTCTAAGTTTTGAAATTAAAATTTTAATTGATTATAAGCGCTGGTAGAGTTATAGGGTGTGAAAAAAGTAATAGGTAAAGTTATTCTATTGAATCAACATAATCTAAATTTCTTTTTCACCCCCAAAATCACCTATATCAAGAAGAAAAATTCCAATAAAAAGACACTCAATAAATAAAATTCTAGTTCCCCAAAACAAAGATCTAAAATTGTGAAGAAAACAAAAGGCTCACTTGTTAAATGGGCCGTTGTGCCATTGCTCTCCATTTCTTGAAACATTCACTAATAGATCCACACAACACTTCCATTCATTGTATAACCTAAAATTTTCAAGTCTAATCAAAACAAAGTAAAACATCTTGTTTTTGAAAAACAAATACATCAAACATAAAGGCATTCTAAACAATGCTAATTTTTAAAATTATAGTAAAAATTATCACAATAATTATCAACAAAATTGTATGGAATTCAAAAAATCAAGTACTCGCTTTTCTTAGTTCTTGCTTCTCTACCGTCTCTAAACAAAAAACATATACTGAACCTAGCTAATAATCCAGGAGATAGCTAACATGTAAAATGAAGCCTAGCTAATAAAAATTTAAGATTCTTAATTTTCACAACATGTAAAATGAAGCCAAGTTAAACAATAGATAAGCAACAAATTATTGACAAATCTATGAACGAAAGGCAGACCAATTACCTAATCAACCATTGCAGCAAACAAAGCCATGACAACTTTTTATGAGCTAATCAAACACTCCTTCAAGCCAAGGCATATGTACCTAAAGCAAAAGGAAGAATAGAAAATATAAGCAAGCAAGCTCCATTATATATATGATTTCCATAGATGTACAGGGATGGATCCCAAACCCATTAAGCTACATAACAACCATCTATTGTTCATTCACCATTCACTTACCAACAACCACCCACCAACAACTACCCATCATTCATCCACCCACAATTTTCTCTATAAATTATAACACAAGATTTTCTACAATTTTCATATTCACCTACCCACAATTTTCTTATCTTCTAAACTCTCTATACCCACCCACAAAATTTTCTATAATTTTCATATTCACCCCCCCACTTACAATGAACAATTTCACTAAAGCCGTCTTCAATAGAGATTTTGATGAATCTTCATCATTTGATGATATAATGATGATGCAATTGTTAACAGTGCAACAACAAAGAATACCAGCATTAACCCTAAACCAACCAAGCAGATATGTTGGTTCTACAAATGGTCGTCAATACATTAATCGTGAGAGGGTCAAAAGCAACGAACAAATTTATAAAGATTACTTTACAGATAATCTTGTCTACCTAGATGAATACTTTCGAAGATGTTTTCGAATAAGGCGATCATTATTTCTTAGTATCTTACATAATATTCAACAAGTCAATGAGTACTTCATCCAAACCCATGATGCCACTAGTGCTCCTGGATTATCCGGTGTACAGAAGATAATTGCTACACTTCGGATCCTACAATATGGTGTACCTACTGATGTTGTAGATGAGTACATAAGAATTGGCAAAACTACTGTAATTGTCGTCTTGAATTTCTTTACCAGAACGATTGTTGCTATCTATGAAGGCGCTTACTTAAGATCCCCGAATGAGTCAAATGTTGCCAAATTATTGCAAGTAAGAGAGCAATACGGGTTTCCTGGAACGTTAGGGAGTTTGGATTGTATGCACTGGCGTTGAGATAAATGTCCAACCGCCCAAGTCGGTGCTTACACTAGACACTACCACAAACCAACAATTGTACTTGAGGCAGTCGCTTCTATGGCTTGTGGATTTGGCATGCTTTCTTTAGCATGCCTGGCTCTCTAAATGATATTATTGTTCTTGACAGGTCGCCTTTATTTTCTGAATTAATTAGAGGACGTGCCCATATTGCCAACTATACCATCAATAATCATGCATACACCATGGGATATTATCTTGTTGATGGTATCTATCCTCGTTGGGCAACGATTGTGAAAATAATATCTCAACCTCAAGGTTTAAAGAGACAACTATTTGCAAGGATGTAAGAAGCATGTCAGAAGGATATCGAAAGGGCATTTGGAGTGCTCCAAGCACGTTTTAATATTGTTAGAGTTCCAGCGAGAGGTTACAGTGATGATGATCTGTACTACATCATGAAAATGTGCATTATTTTGCGCAATATGATCATTGAAGATGAGCGTAATATTCTAGATAATGAACGTAGTGTAGCACTATTGGAAACTAATACCACTAATACCCTATGTTAAGTGTCACGCGATTCAAATCAGGAGTATGTTGAATTTATGTTGAATCGCCAAGGGATTAGATCTACTGAAGCCCATAATGCAATTCGTAATGATCTAATTGAACACTTGTGGTCCCGATCTAGAGAGTTAGATTAAGTTTTTATTTTATCTTTTTAATGACACTTGCTGTCGTGTAATGTCTTTTTATTTCAATAAAATTATCTTCATTTGCAACTTTATTACCTTCATTTCAATAATATATTTATTTGTTCATAATAACATTGAAAAATTAAAATTATACTAAAAAATAGCCAACAATACATTGCAAAAATAAAATTACATTAAAACATAAAAAATACTCAAAATTACATTAAAAAATTAATGACATTGCAAAATTAAAAACGGTGGTGCTATATGCACCAATTAGTGTACTAACTAGTGTGCCAACACTAGTTATGACATTATTATTGACCCCACTTATTAATCGCATTACAAATACCAAAAAACCTCTTAAATTATTCCACATAATCAATTGGTACACTAGTTAGCGTATTAATTGGTACATATAGCATTATTTAATTAAAAATACATTCTCCTATAATTATTCATCATGAGGCAAAGGAAAATAGTAATTTGGGTTGCTTACATGTGCAGACCACTTGGCGAAAATCTCATTTTTGCGCATGATGTAATACGCTTTCGTTTGAGGGTCCAAATAAGAAATGTCCATAATCATTATCAAACGTTCTTTCTTTTTGATGTGCTCTCATCTCCTATAATGCTTGAATCCTTTTTTCTTCTCTTTCAACTTTTTTTATTTCCTTCTCAGCAAGGTGTTGGTTAAATGTCTCTAACAAATTGTTATATTTGTGGACTTCAGCTCGAATAGTTTCATTTTTCCAAAGCAATTCTTTTACAGATTTCCCACCCATATGCCTTTTACTCCTTGTAAAGACACTACCCTCACCAATTGGATTATTACCAATAGTTAGATTGTTACTAACACTGGGACTGTTGTTGTCTTCAAGAGAAATGCAGTTATTATAGGGGATTCGGGGGCTGAATTAGGAGAAAATGATGTATGTATCCTTGACTTCACTATAGTTGTAGGAGTTACATCTTACCACCTGATATTGTTTTGCAAGATTGGCCAACAATGTTCAAAAGCAAAATGTTTGTTTTCATCTTGATGGTATAAAATGTTTTTCTTGAAGTATCTATATCAATAAAATATTAAATTAATTAATTAGTTATTTTTTATAGGAGACAAAAAAACAAACAAACAAACATAATAAATGAAGATGAAATATTACTATATCAACTTGAGACATTGTAATGACCCCAACCCGTAATTTGTTATTAATCAGTAATTAAGGATGTTAATTAAGAGGTTAAAATAAAATTATGTGTTAATTGTGTATTTTGCATGCCATTTGATTTCCTATCTGTTAGTCATAGGAATATTTGTTCAGAATTTTGCTTTGATCTGAAAATTGAAAGCTTTATTGGTATCTGAACACGAAATTGACTTGATCAATATGTTATTAAGAATTTTATGGTAACTTTAATTAGATTTTGATTTGGATCCAAATAATTAGAATAAATTAATTATAATTGCTTAGTTTAAGCTAGATTAATTAGTCAACACTAATCAAGCCTATATAAGGCTAATTTGAGCTCTAGAATTCATTTACACTCATCATTCTTAAGCTAGAGTTTTCTAGAGAGAGAGAGAAGCAAGCTAGAGTGAGAAAGGGGATTTAACTTGACTAATTAACAAAGTGATTGAAGGATTAAGAGGAGAAAGCTAGGAATTGTGTATAATTGAGTTAGATTCAAGACTTGAGGTAAGAATTTAACTCTCACTTTATGAAATTAAGCTAAATTTCATGTGAATTCGAGAGATAGGGATTAAATACATTAATCAAGCTTGGAAAGTAGAAAAGAGGATCAATACATGCATGCATGCATATTTCATTCTATCTTGAGTTTGTTTTCCAAGAATTCTCACATGCATGGTGTTACTTATGTTTAAGTTTGAGAATTCAACATATTCTTACACATTTCACTTCATAAAATTATGTTTTGAGATGAAAGAACTCCCATTGTTTACATGCATATTTATGATTTTATAATGCAATTAAAGAGTTTGATCTTTCAATTAGAAACTTGGGTTTTGTTTAAAGTTATAATTTGAATTTGATGTTGGGAATTCAAGTTCAAGTTGTTTTCAAGAATTTTTTGGAGATGAAATGCATGAAAATGAAGTTTATGGTTGCAAATTTGAGTTCCCAATTTGGAAGCAAATTTTAGACAGTTATGAAACCCAAACCGCACGTGCAGCATGAAGCCCCGCAAGTACGGAACACCTTTCCCTGTTTCAGCTTCAATTTTGCTTTAATTGCACATGCAGCCAGCACGTACGGTGATGGTTCCGTGCGTGTGGCCAAGGCCCCCGCACATGTGGTTTTCAAAACAGTGTACCGTTTTATTTTCTCATCATTTTTCTGATGTACGGACCTACATTCTCATGATTCTAACATGTATTTTAAACTCATTTGCATATCATGAACACGAAAGAAATTAAAGAACGAATAGAAACAACCGAACAGACAAGTAATGAATAAACCAAATAGGTTTAAGAACCGACTGAATGAATCGAATATGGTTTGAGATGTTGTATTATGAATGTTTGTGTTTGTAGGTCAAAATTCGTAGACCGATTAACCATTTCTAGAAGCCACTGTGAGTAATGTTATTGTAAAGATATGTTCATATGATTTATGTTCGGAATGTTATTCGATAAGCTATGATTTTTGAAATGATATTTTGTTTACGTGAACGAATATCTTATTTTGATCTATTATGGCATCCAAAAAGAAGTCCCAAGTCATGGGAGACAACATGTTAATGCAGGTCCATGACATACATGTGATTACGAGGCCTTGCTAGCCACTTGACAAAGTGGTGTTATGTTTGATAATCGGTGTCCGGGATCATTTACTCTAGTCAGAAGACGATATGTTATGTTCTGTTGGATGTACCATTATTATGTTTAGATATGAGAATGATTATGTTATGATCTGTTTTATGATTAAGAAATGTTCGGAATTCGTTCACTAACCTTTTTACCTTAATGTTATTCACTGGGTTTTAACTTACTGTTTATATATATGTATAGGTGAACGAGTGCAAGACTGAGCCTAATGACACCTGTCTGGACTTCTATTTTGTTAGCCAACCTAAGTGCCTCACGTGGATGTTCCGAAACTATCAAGTGATCATGGCTCTATGATTAAGGCTTAAGCCCTGTTTTCTCTTGTTAAAGATGTTAAATAGTAAGACAAGTTTTTGTATACTGGGTATAATTCCTTCTGACTTATCTGTTCAGTGTGATGATGTTATGATATATGTATGTAAATGTTTTGAAGTTTTCTATCTCATATAAGTTAGCACAGCTTAATGGACGCTGCATGTTTTATATTTGCTTATGCTAGCCCCTTATATTGTGATTTCGTTAAGAGGCCTTCGGTAATCTTAGGATTACTGGTTGATCATGATGCTAAACCTATAGAGGCGGGTTTGGGTCATGACAGACATCCACTTGGGTGTAGATTTCAACTTGCGCCAAAAATCTACGAAATTTGTTACAACATTTCATCATTACTCTTTATCGAGATGAGATAGGCACTTGTATTCTTGAGTGATCATTCTGCATCGAGTAATAATTTTAAAAAATTCTTCTCCAAAAATGAGCATGAGATTGTGAGTTCTCAATTATTAGGTATTCAATAATGTGACACCAAGCTCTACAAATTGCCATATCTTCTTGAGTGGTGAATGATTTTCCTCTCTTTGTTTTTGATGAATCTTCCATACTGATTGTGTGAAAAAACAAACAAAAAAAAAATTATGTAGATTGAAGAGAATGTGTATATCAATTGAGATTGATTGTTTAGTTTTATAAGAAGTAAAAAATATGGCCTTTTTTTTTATCCGTTTAAATTATAATCTTTAAAAACAAACTGTTTCAAACATTTCTCTATTTGAGGGAAAAAAAAAAAGAGTCGTTGCTCAATTTGTGTATTCTAATGACAAAAGAGCACTATGTTCATATTGTTGCTTCTGTCTCTCTGTCTCTCTTTTATCACTTCTCTCTTGATTCCAGAAGCTACTCCCAACTCTGCTCTCTCTCTTTCTTTGTACTCAACACTCTGTTTCTCTTATCTCTCTAATGGCTCTCCGAGGAACCAGTCTTCATCTTTCTCCCTCGCCCTCACCAATTGCATTCTTCCTCACTCACTTTCTCCCTCTGTGTTTTATCTTCTTCACCATCACAACCATAACACCCACCACTACCATAACCAACAGAACCACTACCACACTCACTGCCAATCTCCAACCCTTAAACCCCAACCCTCATTTTCTCTTCTTCTACCCTCTTCTCCCTATGTCTCTCACCTTCTT